CCTGGGGATTGGTAGTTGGTACATAATTCCCCAGGGGTAAGCAGTCTGTCGGGTACAAATACCAATTCCAATGAGGTGCTTACAAACAGTGTGGTGTTTATTGGTGATATTTACAAGACTATTCACAGGCAAAAAAAGAAATACCAAAACAAAAGCCTAGCCATATCCAGGGACTAACTACACAAAAATACAGGTCGTAACTGACAGGCTGAGCAAGCCTACCACTTGTCAGCCTCCACATATACAGCTTGTTAGCTTTTGCCAACCTTTCAACACAGATTGAGAGCTCTGGCTACAGGTTCCAGTTGGTATTAAATTGTCAGTGGAAAGAGGAGCAAACCCTGCACTGGACCACAGATCAGAAATCCCTAAATGTATATGAGAGGAACATGGGAGACCTATAAACCCTGAACAGGACTTTCCCAGGCTCCCTCTGGGGCACTCTGCTACAACATCTTCAATCTTGTTGAAATGTAACAAATTAGGCCTCATGTACACTGCTGCTTCTTAGGTTTTTATTGAGTTGAATTCAGGGGCTTTGGCAAAAAAACACCAAGAGATCTTAAACTCATGTTTAGGAGCAGTAGTGTACATGAGGCCTTAATGTGAGTTTAGGAGCTTTTGGCATTTTTTTGCCAAAGCCCCTGAACTCCACTCAATAAAAGCCCATGTGTCCATGCACACATAGGCTTTTATCAGAGTATAGCAGCAGCAGAGTTTATGGGCAGTTAACCATTTCAATACTGGGCACTTTTACCCCCTTCCTGCCCAGGCCATTTTTTTCAGGTTTCAGCACTCTCACAATTTGAATGACAATTGCGCGGTTATACAACATTGTACCCAAACTAAAATTTTATAATTTTCTTCACATAACTAGAGCTTTCTTTTTTGGTAGTATTTAATCACCACTGGGATTTTTATTTTTTTCTAAATTAACAAAAAAAGACCGAAAATGTTGAAAATAAAACCACATTTTTCTTCGTTTCTGTTATAAAAGTTTGCAAATAAATAATCGTTCTTCATAAATTTAGGCCAAAATGTATTCTACTACATGTCTTTGGTGAAAATAACCCAAATTAGGATGTATTATTTAGTTTGTAGGAAGGTTATAGAGTTCAGAAACTATGGTATAGATCTGAAAATTGATCAATCCTGAAGTACTGACTGCCAATCTAATTTCTTGAGGTCTAAGAATGTCAGAACAGTACAGATTGTAACAGCGTATACCCAGAGATGGACACAGTTCAACCATTTTGGTTTCAACCTCCATCTTGGCAAAGGGATTAACTGTCCTGACACATATATTTCTCCCTTATCCTTTCCCCACCCCTCCCTCTCACTGAGAGGAGACATCTGGACAGTGTGTGTGTGTACTGTTCATGGGTCACTGGCCGGCCAGGCATCTCTAGCTAGGTGCCGAGCTGTATGTGAAAGCTGTATCCTTTCTCACCTAGGAAGCTGGAGAGCTGGAGTCTCACTGGCCAAAGTACCTTTGTAATTTCACGCCTCGTGAAGGGATAGCTGAGCCTTCCCAGGAGTTGAAAGCGACTCTGAGCTAATAAACCTAGCTCAGCTAAGGTGACAGAATTAGATGAACACTTCTCAAATCAATTTTTCCCCTATGTTTCATATCTTGGAATATGAGAGACTTACATAAAAACCGGACACCTCGTCAGATGGCCAATGAGCAGGCGACCAGTTTGATGGGTCACTCGCTTATCTCGGACCATCAGGGAAGCTGAAACATAGAACTCGTGAACCGTGCAATATATAATTTCATAATTCATATCTAAATAATCCTCAGACTTGTCTGCATAATAATATAACCACGGGTGGACTGTCGATTGTGCAGATGGAAAGTTATGGACCAGAATATGAATTATGAAAGATGTGGGCTCCAGTTTAGGGTTCCGCCTGACGATCCCTCCCTAAACAGGGGATTGGTCTTTTACTTCAGAACCACCCCCTGCTGGGAAACATGATCTGCTTACATCCAAGGCTTAATGGCAAGTAACTTAACCCTTTAACTTCTCCCTGTTATCTCTTTGCTGTGCTGTTTTATATATATATATATATATATATATATATATATATATATATATATATATATATCTTAGTTACATCTTCTCTGTAAATATTTTTATTGCACCTGTTTGACCCTTTTATAATAAATCTCTCTTTCTGAAAGTGTTGAACTGTTTCTATAGTTCTTAATTGCAATTTACGAATCCCTGCCTTTAAAGAGACGCTACTGTTTGTTTTAACCCTCTGTATAACAGGCCTGTATTATGACCAGGTTATGCAGTCGATTATATCAACCATCATAGTGTTATAGCTGAACGCCGAGTTTCCTCTTTCTCTTATCAAAAAGCAGCTGGTGGCAGTGTGAAGGGGTTAATTGCGTAATTAACCTGACCCAGTAACAATCGATTCAGGCTGCTGGCACATCGATTGGTGTCCATTAGCTGGAAAATCGTTGTGCAGGGTGCAGCTGGGTGTGGCATTGTTACGCACGTCACATCGCGGTTGTAGATCGGTTAGCCCTTCAGTCACGAGTTTGGTGAGAAGGTCTGGGGTCTGACGCCACGATCGTGACACAGATATCCTCCAAATGACCACTTTTTGCAGAGTAGACAGTCTGACGTACTTCATAAGAGGCATGGCGAGTTTTTTGAAGTTGTATTTTTTTGTCATAATTTTTCAGAAAATTAAAAAATTAAAAACATTATTTATTTTTTTTACATACTGTCACCAGTGCAGTACAGTGTCATCATATAACTGGCATGGCGGTGGTCAGGGACACTGACTGGTGACAGTATGAAAAAAAAATATATATAATTTTTTTTTTCTTTAATTTTTTTTATTATTTTTTATTAAATTTTTTTCTTTTTTTAAGATTTATTTTTCATATTTCACTATGACCAAAGTAGTACAATGTTACCATAGTAACATTGTACTACTTTGGGGAAGTGATCAGTATTTTATTTTTTACACAATTTGCTTATAGCAAAGAATTACTTTGCTATAAGCAAGCATTTACCTGAATTACATCGATTTTTTTTTTTTTTTTTGTGCTTAGCTGTGATTTGGCCACGGCTAATCACATGACACAGCTGGGCTGTGATTGGACCAGCTTGTCATGTGATCGCTGTGACCAATCACAACTAGACACACTAGTATACAATGGATGGCATGAATGAAGCTATCCATTGTATACAACTGTCATGTGACCTGCTGTGACTGGTCACAGCAGGTCACATGGTACCGGCAACGGGGCCAGTACTCATATCTGTCATCGGCCGTGTCCGAGGTACACGGCCGGTAACATCGCACCGCTGCCCCCACCTGGAACGCTGAGGGATTTTGCCAGCCACCAAACGGCCATTGGCCGGGTGGCAAAGGTTAAACACCCCTCTCATGAACGCAGAAAAATTGCTTTCAGGAGAGGAATGTAGTGGCCAAAAAACAGGGAAAAAACGTGTGTATATGCACCTAAGCGCTAGCCGCATTTAGCTGTTTCTTGCTGCCAGTAGGGTCAACATCTACAGTAGTTCCTCTGTACATGTAGCTTTAAAATCAACAAAATAGTCTTGTTTTTTTTGTTTTTCTACACTTTGCTCTACTTCAGATACATTTTCCCCTTAGTCTATAAGGCCTGATTTACACTGATGTGATTTTAGATTCAACTTGGGTCACACTGAATCGCATGACAATAAAAATAACATTGCTTCCAAAGGTGCCTGTTTATGTCAATGCAGTGCAGCTGTGATGCAATTATCAGTGCCTCCTGTTTTCTCTTTTCACAGTTCTCAGCTTGACAACATAGAAGTCTAGGGGCTGCCATTATTGACTGACTTCTAAAATGATAGTTGCCTGGTTGTCTCTGGCTTCAACACTTTCTCAACCATTGGCAGAGAAAGAACTGGTTTGCATTTCTTTTAAAATAATAATAAAATCATGTGATCAGAATCACAGCCATGCAATTAGCATATTCACATACAGAGGTGTACATTGGCAGCTCCCCCCCCCCTTTCTGTTTGCATAGGTTTCCCCTAAATAGGCTTTCCATAAGACTGACTCTGTATACCTTTTGTTGTGTTGTGGACTCAAATATTACAGAAAACAGACAAAAATGCATGTCTAGGTAGTAAATTATTCATGGCTCTCATAAAGGCCTATGCATGGCGTAAATGCTTTGCTTTAGGCTAGTTGAAACATGACAGAGAAGCTCTCTTTCTAATATCTGATATGTGAGATTATGCTGAAATTTAGACAAGTTTGGTGATGTAGTTCAGAAAGCCATAACAGATGGGGGAGACAGAAACAATGCAGCTTTTTATTCTGCACAGTGTCCCAGAAGGCCCTCTGAGTACAATCCTGTGCATCTACACAAAGAAATAATGTCTTATTGACTTGCTAGAGAAGTTCCTTCCAAACTTCCACTTTCTTTAATACAGCCATTATTTTTCTCTTTTTCTTTAGTCAGTAGTAGAATTCCATCCTATACAGTATTATGCTTCCATTTCACTGGCTCTGCTCAAATGTTTTAATGTCTCTTCAAGCAGATGGGCCATCAGCTGAAATCGCTAAAAATACATGATATAATGTCATCTACTGCTGTGCTTGCCATGGATGATTTTGCGAGCTGAACGAAAAAATTTAACAGATTATTCCATTCACACAAGCGAGGACATTGTATTCTGACAGTCGGACACTCCACTATCAGTATACAGTGATCAGCGGCTGCAGCCACTGATCATCAAAGGTTTTGCAAATTCCCTTAAAAAAAAAATCCATCTATGGTCAGTTTAACCACCTTCTGCCCGCCATATAGTACAATGACGGGCGCAAGGTGGTTCTCTCATTCTGATAGGATGTCATATGACGTCCTTCCATTCTCGCCGTGTATGCGCGGCTCAGGGAGCCCTCGGACACAGCGGATCACGGAAGGAGCCAAAGATGTCGGCTCGGTCATGTGATCAGCTGTGTCCAATCACAAAGCTGATCAAATGTAAACACGGAAATGCCGGTTATCGGCATTTCTCTCCTCTCCAGCTGTCATGCTGACAGCTCGAGAGGAGAGGAGAGCCGGTAATCGGCTTTTCGCGGAGGGGCATGTGCACTGATCATCAGGGCACTGATGATCAGTGTGCCCTGATGATCAGTGTGGCCCCAGAAGTGCCACCTGTCAGTGTCCATCAGTGCCAGCAGTCAGTGCTCATCAGTGCCACGTGCCAGTGCCCATCAGTGCCACATCAATGCCACATATCAGTGCATATCAGTGCAAATCAATGCCATATATCACTGCCCATCTGAGCTGCCTTTCAATGTCACTTATCAGTGCCAGTCAATGCCACCTATCAATGCCAATCTGCCACCTATCAGTGCTGCCAATCAGTGCCACCTATCAGTGCCAGTCAGTGTCACCTATCAGTGCCAGTCAGTGCCGCCTATCAGTGTGCATCAGTGCCGCCTATCAGTGCCCGTCAGTGCTGCCTATCAGTGCCGCCTAACAGTGCCAGTCAGTGCCGCCTAACAGTGCCAGTCGGTGCCGCCTATCAGTCCCATATATGAGTGCTGCCTTTCAGTGCCCATCAGTGATGCCTGTCAATGCCCATCAGTGCCACCTACCAGTGCCTACTCATCAGTGCCCATCAGTGCTACCTATCAGTGTCCATCAGTGCAGCCTATCAGTGCCCATCAGTGCAGTCTCATTAGCGCACATCAGTGAAGGAGAAAAAATCACTTATTTACAAAATTTTATAACAAAAACTAAGAAAAAAAAACGTTTTTTTTTTTCACAATTTTCAGTGATTTTTAATTTGTTTAAGAAAAAATAAAAAACCCAGAGGTGATTAAATACCACCAAAATAAAGCTCTATCTGTCACACAAAAATGATAAAAATTTCATATGGGTACAGTGTTGCATGACCGCGCAATTGTCATTCAAAGTATGACAGCACTGAAAGCTGGAAATTGGCCTGGGCAGGAAGGGGGTATAAGTGGCAAGTGGTTAAAGGCAACATTGTTAACTATAAAGGCTATCGAGGTAGAAGTACATATTTGTTGATTAGCAGCATGAAGGCGCACTGATAATTGCATCTGTTATTCTTTTTGTAAAATGAAACAAGGAATTGGATTGGTTATGGTGGTATGTTGTGTAATGGCACTACAGTAAAGTCAATGGGGGAAACTAACATAATGCTTGTACCACTCTCCTAAACAAAAAATGGAGTAGTTGCTCCTTCTAATTAACAAAAGGGCCACAAGCCCCTTTGTTACTTAGAAGTAATCAGTTCTCTGTTCTGCCATGTCTATCACAGACACAGCACAGAGAACAAGAGAGCTGGAGCTGCATGCTGTGATTTGTCTGCCTGTCTCCACCCCCACCCACCCAGCTTACAGCTGGAGGGAGGAGAAGGGTGGTTAACCCTGCATGCTTGGCTCATGTAGTGTAATCCCTGCACAGGCAGATAAAGGGATGTGAGCTGTCTGCTGAAAGCTCACATCCCAAACAACATGTTAGAAAATAGCTACTGGTACTGGGAGGACGCAGCAGTATCCCAGTCAAGTTGGCCTCTCTCTAATATGCAAGTTTAAGGTCTATCTGCATCACCCTCACTAGTTTCTATTTCAGAGTGAAACAGAAACTGTCACAAGTTCCGAACCCAATCAACACAGGGAATGCGGCAGTTTTCAATCTGGAAAACTACTGCAGATACCCACCAGATAGACCTTCAACTTACATATTAGAGAGATGCCAACTTGAATGGGATACTACCAGTACCAGTAGCTATATTCTTTGTTAGGCTGTTTTTACATGATAGGAATTCATTTACAGCTACTTGATATATTGTAAGCTTAGTTTACTGGTTGTGTCAGGAGTGCATTACTATTATCCTATTAATGAGTACTACTATATTACTGGATTTGATGGTCACTATGAGCAGTAACTACTTTTTTGTAAATATTTTTTTTTTTTATAGAGCATTACACATATTCCTGTGCAAACTACAATGTTGCCTTTTTTTTTGCAACAAATGTAATCCATATTGTATGTGTTTTTCTCCTTTACTCCTTTTTTTTTTTTTTACAGGGGAGGATGTTGGTTATGTGGCTAGTGAGATCACAATGAGTGATGAAGAGCGAATTCAGCTGATGATGATGGTAAAGGAAAAGATGATCACCATTGAAGAAGCACTTGCAAGGGTAGGATTCTATTCAGTTAACCAGATATTCGCATTGATTCCAATTTTTGCTAATACCACAAAAAAAAAGTGTAACCGGTTTGTGTTAACTTTGCAAATATATTACCTGGCTTTTCTGCTTAGTACATAGTAATGGGCAAATATACAACTTCTGCAGGGTTATATTTCACCTATTTGATGTTTTTATTCTGTAGGTATGTATGTTTATTTCACCAGATGTTTACCTGTCAGGGTTCTGTCCACCTATAGTTTTGACATTTATTACCTTTACCAGCCTCTGAAATAGTGTCAAAAAGAAATTTACATGTATCCAAAATCTTTAAAGAAAAACATGTTTGACTCTGTAGCCGCTTGCAAACCTTTTTTTTTTGCAGCCATGTTTTCTGTGTTAAAGTTGTCCATACATTAAGGGATATATTAATAATTTTGTCAATCTAACTTTCACTGCAGATGAATCTTCCCAGTGCATGTATTTTAAATGGCACTGATTGATTCACTACCGGTGAATGTTTTGTGTTAAATTCACATATACTGCTTTATAAATACACCCCTAGATGATGCACACGCTCAGGTTTATGTATATGTGACGTTAATTGCCAAACTTTAGTGTGACCAAGATGGATGGATCTGGCTTATTTGATTGTACATGAATATGGCCATAACTGAAAGATCCAGCTGTTCCACAAGTGAGCCATGTACTTTAGACTTTAGTCATAGGCAAATCACAACCATCCTCTTTGCTCTTTATTACCCAGTCATGTATCACTGTCTATAGATTGCAGCAAGACTTGCTATACATGCATACACAGAATGATAATTTGGTAATGAGGATTAATTGATCTTAATATCTTCCTTGGGTAATACTATGTACCTCAAGCAGTATACTGCACACTCGCTCACATGTCACGATTCTGGAGAGAGACAAGAGAAAGAATAGAGACAACTGCTTTCTGTAAAGAGAAGGATTTTCTGCACACGTGGAGCCTGGAAATATGAACATTTGAAAAAAGACTTGGAAAAGCACATAGTCCTAAATAGTTTTTTTTCTTTACAGATGTCTGTTTCTTTCAGGCACCATGTGTTCAGCAAATATATTTCAGCACTGAGAACAAATGCAACCGCCTTATGGCTGTATATCTTATACTTCCTCTAGTATCCTTTAGGTGGGATAATTCGCAGGATATTTTAAGTTGCGGTTTGTGTTCTTTGAAAATTGTCTTCTAAATCATCCAGATATTATAGCTGTCCCATAGGGCATTATTAAAAAAGAATAAAAAATTGTGCACCATTCCTTCTCTAAAGCCCAGAGTCCAGTCTGATGATATCACAGGTCCTCTTTGATTTCTTCTTCTTTTGGCAATGAGTAGATCCTAAATGCTGCAGAGAGCAACCCCCTGGAATGACATGGCGCTACTCTCTGCAGTATACTCTTATGAGTACTGGCCAGGGTCTGAGCCTTGATACCCTGGGATAATTGAAGTGGGTTGAATAACACTGGATGCCATTTAACCCAGAAGAGGAGCAGTTAGCTCACTGCTGGAGTGGTGAGACCATGGAGACATGTCAAGAGAAGATGATTTATTTTACAGAGCTACCAGGATCCACTTTTAGTTGTATTGCCCAAACTGGAATTGGGTTTTAAAGTGAACCTGTCTTTAAACTCTATTCAATTTAAAAGTGCTGCATAAGACCTGGGGAAGATAAGTTACCTGCTAATTAACTCCTTGTCCAGGAAAGCCTACTGTTGCAATGTTTTCGTCCTGCTATGGAAAGCCTCTGCTGTTTGCCCTGGAACATTATCCTCACCTAGCTTTTGGCCCTCTGTTCAAAGAGATTGCATTGTTAATTAGCAAGACTCTTTGAGATCCTATTAGATTTTATTCTTTAACCTCCCTGGAGGTATTCCCGAGCTACACTCGGGCTTACCATGCGGAGCTGCTCCGGGATCTGTTCTTCTCTTACCTTGTCCTGCGCTCCCACGATGTCCCTCCTGCAGTGTCCCCTGTAATGTCCTCCGGACAGATGCCGGCATCTGTCTTCTGGGTTCCGTCCCCTGCGATGTCTGGATGTACGGGGATGGAACGGCGGGAAATTTGAAAATGACAAAAAGTGACATTCACTAAATACACTAAAATCACATAGTAAAACATTACTGTATCAAACCATTTCACATACATTTTGTCCCTAGTGCTTTGTCCTGTGCCCTGCCTGCATTTTGACTGTTCTTTCTGCCTGGAAAACTGAGAAAAGTCCATGGCATCCAAAAAGCGTCCCTTTAGGTCAAAAGCGGTTTTAGACCAGCTAGAGAACAGCATTAGTAAATTAGAACTACTTGCAGAATTGAGTGATACTGATTCCTGGGGAAATTCGTCATCAGACACTGAAAATGATTTTGCGTCTTTGCTCAGTCATGTGCGAACTTAGCGCTATATTTCAAATTTCAGTGTTTTTGGTTTGATTATATTATTGAATTAAATTTATTATTATATTATTATTTTTTATGAATTTTTATTAAATTATAATTTATGATTTTGGGTTTCAAATTTTAACATACCCGGGATGTTTACTAGACTCTTGTTTGGACAGATTTCAGTGAGTTATTCCTAAAAATTACAGGCCTACAATAAAAAAAATACATATTTCAATGCAAAAAAATGTACCGCTTTGAGCACAGAAATATGGACATAATCAGACCGCTAGGGAGGTTAAGTCAAAAAGTTAAGATTTCTGTAGCAAAGTAAAAGTAATGTTATTGACACAGAGGGACTGCCACAGTCATGGTTGTCAACCGTTCATCAAAAAACTAAATTTAAATCAATACTGCCTTGACCATAAAGTGATCAACTCTGTCCATAAAAAATCCTGTGTACAATAAAAAAACTATTTCACATGTGCAATGTATATGTTTGTATATTTTTTAAAAATAATTTTGATTTCTATGTAGATATATTTGTGAATTATATACTATATAATGTGGTCCAGAATGCAAAAATCTCATTAAAATCATACTGGCTTGCTAGAGAATAAATAAAATCTCATTAATGATAAACTAGAACATGAAAATGTAATTATGTGTAAAGGATATTGGCAAAATAATTATTTAGTGGAAATTAATTTTCAAATGTATGTGGTTTTAAAAGGATAAGTTCACCTTTGGGAACATGTTACATGTTCCACCCACTCCCTGACCCCAGCCGCCTCTAGTGACAGTGAGCTGGGGATCTTCTCCCCGAACTCGTCATAATTTAAAAATAGAAACGCGACCATACGAGGCTTTGCCCACCCAGCCACGTCATTCATTCACAGAGTT